GAAAGACAGATCAGCAACTTGGGGCTTGGTCACAATTTTCGTGATGCCATACGGCAGCAGGGTCTACCATTAGACAACACTTTACGCCTCCAATATCTTCCCAGGCGGTCGTACCTCCCTGTTTGGTAACTGCTTACTACCTACCTACTAAGATAGGCTAAACCTGATTGATTAGTTAAGTTAGGTGTGGTTTATAGACGCTTCATACAGATAAAACCACTTTGAGTTGTAAGTTAGAATGTTACTCGCTCTGTTTTGTAATTGTTAATTTAAGTTTCTTGATATAAAACTAGAAAAAAAGAACAAAACAAGAATATTGTATTCCGGAAGTTTATATCGTGTTGGTAAAACTGAGAGTCCTGCCAAGGAAGTTCTTTTTTCAGAGATAATACTTTATCATGTTTATGAGAAACTTTAGTAACCTTGTCTCGTATGTACTGTATATGGCCAGTTGTCTAATTTCTCTCTGTGTTTGTCTATTTTCACTTTGTTAGGCTCACATACATACGTACATATAGGAGATCTCGCACTAAGGATGGAGGTGAGAAAGGAAACTCAGAATAGCTTAACTTCATATGCACTGTATGTACAATGCAGTGCAAGGGAATTGCTGTGTGGTGAGGAGCTTGTTGAGAGGAGGTCCTGTCTGTTAGAGAGCGTTGAGTAGAATGACCTTCAGTCAGTCGGTCAGAACACCGAGATAAGAGAGCCGTGGCTCTGAGGTGAACAATGAGATTTAGGGCAAGGTACAGTTAAGAAGTGGGAAGTACAGAAGAATGATAGCAGGTGGGCTTTCCATCTTGCGGAGGCTAGTTTGTGGCTTAACCATTGACAGACGTCCCTCAGTCCTCCAGGGGCAAGGGAGGTTAGATAAGCTAAGCTAAGCTGGTTTAAAGTGCGATCCAAGGGAATGTGCTGTTTTAGGGTTTTTTGGAGGGTCCCTTCGGGTCCTTGTGTTGCTGAAGGGATGTTCCTCATCTTTTGTGACTGGGGGTCCCGCCAGGTCCTTGTGTGAACTGGCAGGATAGTCCCCATCTTTTCGGTTATATGAGTGGTGTTACTCTCTCGCGTATAATGGTTCCGGGCTGATTGTGTTAATGTTGATGCTTCTTGGCCACCAGCTGTGTTACATATTGTTGTTTGCCTGTAATAGTTCCTGTAAAATGGGGTCTTGTGTTGGGTGTAGTGTGTCCCATACCGCTTTTGCTTGTTTGTGTGTTCTTATGTTAATTGTGTCTATGTTATGTTCGATGTGTATGTCTCGTATTTTTTGACTGTATGGCGGCCTATGTCTTGCTGGTCTTCTTAGTGCTGTATTTTGGACTGCTTGCAGCTTGAGTTTCTTTGTTTTAGTTATTGTGTTAAGTGGAATAGGTGGGTATTCAAGGTGTGGTCTGACGAGTGATTCGTATAGATGTAGCTGTGTTTTGGTGTTTAGTTTTCTAAAGCGACGGAGTTTGGTTAGTTGTAGTTTGGCTTTCGTCACTCTCTCTCTCATGTGTTGGTGTATACCGCTTCTGGTGATTTTGGGTCCCAGTGTTTTTCCACTTTCTTCATATGGTAGCTGTTGATTGTTGATTGGGTATGGATGTATTTTTGCAGTGTATTTGATCTTTAGTTTTTGGATGTTGGTTTGAATTTTCCATTTTCTCTCATAGTTGTTAATTACTTCAATTTCTTCTCCTGTTCTCTTGGACATCATTTGTTTAGATCTCCCTGGATATTGTATTATTTGTGTGATATCGTCAGCGTATGCCATGTAGTCCGATTGTCTTGGGTCTGGTATGTCTGCTGTGTATATTGTGTACAGTGTGGGTGAAATGTTGCTGCCCTGTGGTACTCCACTGTGTGTGTTGAAGGTTTGTCGAGTGTAGTTGTCTGTAATGAGATTGGCTTGTCTGTTGTTTAAGAAGTTGCAGAGAAGCGTTGTCATGTTTTTTGGCATGTCAAGTTGAATTATTTGATATTTTAGGCGTTCGTGCCACACTTTATCGAAAGCTTTTGATACATCTCTGAGAACGACATTGCACTGGTCCTTATTGCTGAGGGCGTTAGTTATTTGTTTCGTAAATTAGTGCAATAGCCGTGTTTGTACCTCGGTTCTTTCGGAATCCATGTTGTCTGGGGTTATATTTGTTTTCCTGTTCTAGATAGTTTCTGAGTCTGTTGTTGACTATTTTTTCTAGTATTTTGCCTAGTGTTTCTAATAGGGATATACTGTAAGTCTGTAATTTTCCGGCCTTGTTGGGTTTTTTCCGGGTTTGAGTAGGAGTCTGATTTTGGCTGTTTTGAATCTCGTGGTGAAGTGTCCTGTTGCTAGTGAGGCGTTAAAGATCTGTGTAAGTTGTTTTTTCAGTATTGTGGGTATGTTTTGAAGGACCGTTTTGTTTATCTGATTTAGTCCAGGTGCTTTATTTTTAAAACTGGTTATTATGTTTGTTATGTCTTTGGTGGTGATTGGTGTGGTTAATGTGTCTGCACTGTTTAGTATATTGAGGTCTATTGTTCTTGGTGGTTGACATTTCTCTGTGTTTAGTGTAAGGTGTGTTGTTACCACTGTTAATTCAGTTCGTAAACAAAGACAAAAACCCAAGAAGCAAAGAATCTCCCTTTTGAAGAAAACGTACAAAAAAGTGACTAAAAACCAAGTGAAGAAAAACATCAAATGGATAGAAAATATGTACAAAAAGAATGAAATAAACATTGTAGCCCTACTAGCATGGACAAAAATGATAGCTGAACAACGCCACAACAAAATTAACACACTTGTACTCCAAGGACCAACAGGAACAAGAAAAATCACTAACCCTAACTTCACTCATTGGAAAATTAAATACAGGAATAGTAACAAGTTCTGTCGGTGTTTAACATCATAAAACTTAAATTCCCTTAAATTCCGAAGGGATGTGATCCTTTGACATTAACCATAATATAATAAACATTTAGGTGTGACGCTTTCAGATCTAATAATGCAATAGGTCAGTGTTCCTTACTTAGAGCGTTAATGATCGCACAAATATAAACAGTTAAACGTAATTAACAAGTTCCTACCGAGTATTAATGATTATTTCAGATTTCCACCAAATCTTTAAACAACCTTGCATGACCACAGTTTAACCTACAGTAGAAATATTCTGTCATAGGTCCCTCACTGGTGCATCACGGCCTCTCCCGCCCGAAGCCCAAGAGGAACCACAAGCCATCCCCCCGACCAAAGTAAGTCACCGTCCTTCACATTGCTTTTTTCCTTATCAGTGTCCATTCGATGCCTTTAATTCACAATTACTCAGCATAAGTGATAAATGTGTTCCAGCCAAACCCTTCAAGACCAGATTGAAAGATAACTCTTGGTTCATTGATAATCTAATGGGTTGATTGATCTATTCCTCTCCTTAACTCGGATGCTTTTGCCGCCTCCTAATTGAAGAGAAATGTTGAACTTCTTAGCTCGGTGTTTGGTGGCAATAGAGCAGAGGAAACATCACCTTACGCCTACTTGCTTTCCTGAGGCTCGTCTTCTAAGTTTCATTTCAGGTTAGCAAATCACCACCGCTTGACTTTGATCTTTATAATGGCACGGCTGCTGATGGTACAGTATATTATCCCGACTCAGAGACTTTGGCTTTATTACTTCTATTCCCAAAGCCAAATCACCAACCTCTAGTCTGCCAAAGCACCGTTGTGTATCTGTTAGCCTAATACTTTCCGAAGTCTTTGAGCAGTTTCTTGCAGCACGGTTATGTAGGCGTTTGGACAATCATGATTTCCCTAAATATCAGTTTGCACACCGGGAAGCCATGACACTTATGATGCCGTGCCCAGAGTCACTTTGTACCAATTGATTTTTGTGCTGTTTCTGACAGAGTTAATTATGTACGCGGGTCTCATTTATAAGCTCAGGTCCTTCAGCACTAGGGGGTTCTTTTCCATATGTTGTAAAAGAGTTTTTGAGAAATTGGACCCAAAAGGATGTCATCTTCAAGAGTGATTTCCTCAAAACTAGAAAATTGCATATTCGTCGGCTTGTGAAAACAGCGACGAAATGTAGCCTCAGGTGTTCGGAGACCATATTTATTTATTATATATTGTAATGATAAAGTGAACGATCTTGAGAATGAGCTCACATCATGCGCTCACGATGCCATGTTCCTTGCTTCCATCTCGTCACTATATGGTAGAGTTGCTGCCATCCTAACCAGGGATTTATGCAGTGGTCAGGAATGAATATAATCAATAAAGGGAACGATGGTCATTTTTCCCGAGACTCGTTCAATGATTGGTAGCAGATCAAAGAAATAATCCATCTCATCCTCGCTTATTCTAGATACCAATTTCACCCCTGAAGAGCATAATTATATCCGTTTCATGGCATCCCATCCAACCTTAAAACTGGGGATTGTTGACAAAGCCTTTTCATTGCGATGTTATTAATATGAATAACTTGCTCTGTTATTTGTATTAACAATTTCTGAGTGTGATTTTCGGCTGTACTTACTCATTCACTGCTCGTGCACTCGCCATCGACCGACTCACTCAACCACTCACTCATCAATCCACCCACCACTTAATTACTCACCCACTCACTCACCCACTTACTCACGTACCCATCCACTCACCCACTCACTCACCCACTTACTCACGTACCCATCCACTCACTCACTCACTCACCCACTTACTCACGTACCCATTCACTCACCCACTCACTCACCCACTTCACTCCACTCACTCACCGTACCCATCACTCACTCCACGTACCCACCACTCACTCACTCACTCACCCACTTACTCACGTACCCATCCACTCACTCACTCACTCACCCACTTACTCACGTACCCATTCACTCACCCACTCACTCACCCACTTACTCACGTACCCATCCACTCACCCACTCACTCACCCACTTACTCACGTACCCATCCACTCACCCACTCACTCACCCACTTACTCACGTACCCATCCACTCACTCACTAGTTTTAACGAACCTTGATAAAAGTTTAGCTTCGCGTCGTGAAGATAATGCCTGATGTTGCTTTCCTGTTTGCTGTCACTGTTGAGATAAAGCGACTCGTCTCCTCTCACCACACTATCCTAGTTATTAGAGTAAACTAATTACTGTTCCATAATGAGTTAGTTAGTTAGTTAAGAAGCATGATGGTAATATTTTACATTTTAGAATCCATCCCGACGGTATATTGTTTGTATACCTGTACTGTTTATGTATATTATTTGTATACTTTAATTGTATGTGTACATTGTACACTCTTATTGTCTCCGTACAGTAGGCCTATATGCTGAATCAGTACGAACTTGTATGACCATTTTACTGAATAAATCTACCTATCTATATATATATATATATATATATATATATATATATATATATATATATATATATATATATATCTAAGTAACTCACAATCTATCTATCTATCTAATATATTCATCTATCGAGTGTGAGTGTGCTAGGTATGTATACTGTATGCAAACAGTGCAGGAATTTACATAGTGATAACAATGAAAATTTTCAGTGGACTGTGCCTCTGAAATACCAGCACAATAGATACACACCACCACCTTCAGTGTCCTCCTTATCTTGATCCTCATCTTGATCTTTGTGTTCACTACATCCAGGGTAACCGAGAACGTCGTAAGGGACAGCAGCTTGGATAACTTCTTCCCCAGCGTTTCTCAACGACGACCTGGTGATGTTTGCAGCTCCACCGGGTCTCACTCCAGCAGATCTGCGAGCACCGTAGCCACCCCTCAGTCCTGGTGAGTTACGTGATAATCTTAGAGTTGCAGCAAGATGAGAAAGATATGTCTTTAACTTCATATCAAAGGGCCAGATTATTATATTTATCCGACAGCGTTAAAAGTCAATATTAACGTTAATATACCACGAAAGCTAAAGTGCTCCATTGTTTCCCTTTTCCCTGTGTGATTTTATCAAGATTTATTTTATCCACGTTTTCATTGTGGATCTACATAATATATATATATATATATATATATATATATATATATATATATATATATATATATATATATATATATATATATATATATATATATATATATATAGTAAAGTGTTACCACAAGTACAGACACTCAACTGGGTTTCAACAAACTCCCCGCTACTTAAAATGCCTTCAGGCTTACTACAACACCCAGACTATACGATTCTTGATATTATAATAATGACATTTACAATACTGTGTTCATCGTAAACGTCTACCCTGTGTTGTAAGTACTTTTGTCCCCCAGTATACCCTGTCTGTTGTGTAAGGTTGCCAGTATTTCAATAAATATCTGCAGGCATCTCCCCTGTTCCCTTAACACTCATAACCATAACAAAAATATTATGCGCGTCCCCACAGTATCGACGCAGGTTGTAGAGATCCTTCACCTCCACTGCCACTGGTGGGGGAGGAATACAGTACCGAAAGGCTGGCGGCGGCCGTCGAAGGGGATTCTCTGAGTAAACGCAACAATGGAGGTGAAAACAGAATCGCCGAGAAGTCAAGACATTTGAGAGATAACAAAGGAAAACGAGAAGGAGGAGGAGAGTGTGAAGATAATGGGAAATTTAAAACGAAAACTGGAAGAGAAGGAAACAGAAGCATAGCCGGAAGGAACGTTGGTTATCTTCAACATGAACAGGTTATCACTACCAAGGGGTAAGTTGTAATAATAATAATAATAATCATTTTTGTATATAGGTACAGTAATTGATCAAGGACAGCCTAAAAAGCCTTCAGATACTCACTTCCATTAGAATCCTTAAGTTTCAATACCAGACCCAACGTTGCTTAGCTACCCTGATCAGAGGAGAAGCGATGTTTTCTACGTGGTATAGCCAATGTCTTTTGTTGAGAGGATACCTTAATCCAGTGCGTGTTTACATCTCTTGGATTATGTAAAGAGAGAGATAATTAGCAACAAGGAAGGAGACATAATTAGTCGCAGAGAAGGCAAGAGAACTAGCAACAGCTAATGAGTTCCCAAATACACGTTCATCCTTCATATATAGATAAGTGGGTTAGTTCTCGACGGGTGTACACAGTATATACAATTTTTCCAATTCTTCTTGTACAGGAGGAGTGTTATCAGTCTTGTGAGGAGTTTGGAATTACGCCTCAACATTCACTCACCCTGTAGCCACCCCATCAAAGATGTTGTCGATGAACAGGGCGGTGAAGGGGGTGGCTCTAGTAACCATGATAATGGATCCTCATCTGCTGACGAAGACTTCACCCCCAGTAGTAATTTGCTCTCTAAGGATGACTCTAATTTCGACGAATTTCTAGCTGACGATGCTGTAATTACTCCTGGCAACCACTCAACATTTAGAAAACGTCTGGATGAGGAATTGGCCCAAAGAATCCGACTGCATGATGAAACATTGGCACTTAGGAGACCAGCGGCTGAAGAAGTGAACCTTAGGAGACCAGTGGATGAAGAAGTGACACTTAGGAGACCAGTGGATGAAGAAGTGACACTTAGGAGACCAGCGGCTGAAGAAGTGAACCTTAGGAGACCAGTGGCTGAAGAAGTGACACTTAGGAGACCAATGGATGAAGAAGTGACACTTAGGAAACCAGCAGATGAAGAAGTGACACTTAGGAGACCAGTGGCTGAAGAAGTGACACTTAGGAAACCAGCAGATGAAGAAGTGACACTTAGGAGACCAGTGGCTGAAGAAGTGACACTTAGGAGGCCAATGGCTGAAGAAGTGAACCTTAGGAGACCAGTGGATGAAGAAGTGACACTTAGGAGACCAGTGGATGAAGAAGTGACACTTAGGAGACCAGCGGCTGAAGAAGTGAACCTTAGGAGACCAGTGGATGAAGAAGTGACACTTAGGAGACCAGTGGATGAAGAAGTGACACTGAGGCGGCTGAAGAAACCTTAGGAGACCTGAAGAAGTGACACTGGATGAAGAAGTGACACTTAGGAAACCAGAGATGAAGAAACTTAGGAGACCAGCGGCTGAAGAAGTGACACTTAGGAGACCAGCAGATGAAGAAGTGACAATGGCTGAGAGACCAGCACTTAGGAGATGAAGAAGTGACACTTAGGAGACCAGGAAGAAGTGACACTTTGGATGAAGAAGTGACCCTAGGAGACCAGTGATGAAGAAGACACTTAGGAGACCAGCAGATGAAGAAGTGACTTGAGGAGACTGAAGAAGTGACAGTTGATGAAGAAGTGACACTTGGATGAAGAAGTGACAGGAGACCAGCAGATGAAGAAGTGACACTTAGGAGACCAGTGGATGAAGAAGTGACACTTAGGAGACCAGCAGATGAAGAAGTGACACTTAGGAGACCAGCAGATGAAGAAGTGACACTTAGGAGACCAGCAGATGAAGAAGTGACACTTAGGAGACCAGTGGATGAAGAAGTGACACTTAGGAGACCAGCGGCGGAAGAAGTGACCCTTAGGAGACCAGCGGCGGAAGAAGTGACACTGAGACCAGCGGCGGAAGAAGTGACACTTAGGAGACCAGCGGCGGAAGAAGTGACACTTAGGAGGCCAGTAGGTGAGGAATTCTTACCACTTAAACAAATAATAAATGAAGAACCTATTGTTAATTTTAGGAATGGTGAGTTTCAAGACTGTGGTTTAACTTCGGAACACTCATCAACTACAGAAACAAGACCTACCTTTGCAGAAACCCATTCAGCTCCCACAAACTCAATGACCAAAGAAAGTGTCACTGGTACACAGCCAAAACCTGATGAAGACACAGCAGTAAGTCTTCCAGGTCCAGCAGGTGAGGATGAACCAAATTCAATGACTCCAATCGCAATGAAAACAAATGCTGAAGCTAATAGTGGAAGAGCTGCTGACGAAGGTGGAGAGTTTGTTACACTGAGAAATCATGAATTAGAAAAAGTGAATGTGACTGATTTTAGCCTTGACGAAATCGAACACAAAGCTCCCGTGACTTTAAGAACTGGCAGTTTAACAAATAACAGAGAAGTGTTAAGCACGAATGAATGTAAAAGAAAGTATAGAAAAGTAATACAACCGGCCAAGCCCGCAAGAAGTAAACGCACAGCTGACAAAAGTTTACCTGGTCGCGCCAACGACAAAACTTGCCAACGTACACCAGGTGATGACGAGAATTGCCGATTCCAAAAATTATCTCCTTGCGAGTCTCAGAATAAGGGTGTACTAAACGTCCCTCTTGAAATGACTCCTGGGTGCGAGACGACAAAGGCTACACGTCCCTCACCCCAGGATGATGAAAAACAGGTAAGTGATATGAATCGGATTCTTGCTTCTCTCTCTGAGCTGGAAGATAACAGTAGCCAACCTATTAACCATCAGTGTGAAGATATTAGGTCAAGCAAGGCCTCACAAGCTGTCGACGATCTGAGAGTGCTGCATAAACCACCTATTCAGAGTACTACAGATAGAAGTACCTTGGGTTCTCCAGGAAGTTTAACCCAATTCAACAAGATAGGTGGCTACCCAAAGAAACGTGTGACTGCCCCTGCTCCACCTAACTCCGGGACAAACACGCCGCTCACATCTGACCCACACAGTAAGTTGTTCACGTTAGGCTGTTTGTAGTACACGTGAGAAATGCTGAAAGAAGCCCTCAGTCTGTTTAGTTCGGATGTTGATTTTTTAAATTACGGGAAGGTTTCTGGTGTGGTAAATAGTTACACATCTTATTAAAACATTGCATCCCACTCACCCATCACCATTTCGTTTTACAATTTTTCATTTTGTTTACATGTCCCAAGTCCTGTTTTTAGAACTAGTTTGAACTTCATTTACATTTCCTGTACATCCCCTACCTGGATTTGGATAAAATTATCATTATCTTTTGAAGTCCCTTAATATTTACGTCCAGTTCATTTGTGTGGAGTTTCGTCTTCTGCCATTCTCGTCTGTCTCCTTGCAGATTTTTTTAAAGTAAATGTTCTCTATCTTGCCTACTTTAATTTTTATTTATTCTCTCTCTCTCTCTCTCTCTCTCTCTCTCTCTCTCTCTCTCTCTCTGGGCCTGGGCATTCCTTATGCATTTTCACACTACTGAAGATGGAGTTGAAGTTTGGGAGGGAGGTACAGGTGGCCTATCTAGGGGATGGTTGTTCACTATTTACTAACAGAACTGACGATATTTTCATCCGTGACTGCACGTCAGACCTTTAGAAGTGAGAGAAATATGATGCTAACGTAGATAGATCGTTGTGAACACTGGAGTAAAATAAGGAAACACACCAAATAATCAAAGAGTATTGTTAAAGGAAATGTAGTACCAAGACTGAGGACGGAAAGACCAGAGGAAACAGAGATAACGGAGAGGATGTGGCGTGCTGAGAATTTACAGTGTTGAAAATGTTCTGGGCATTCGTTGTTCAATAAAAAAAAAATCTATATCGATGGCTTGAGACGTGCTGAGATTACCCTTGAGATTAGGTTAGGATAGGTTAATTAAGTAAGGCTTGTTTAGCTTTTGATTGAACTGTGCATGCCGAAAACATTTTCAGCACGGTACAATCTCAGCTCACTACCCCCCCCCCCCCCCCTCGCAGGATTTTAGATAAGCTCCGCAGAACTATTCGTGTGAGTAGGTTGTGCATCTCCAAGCTGTAACATAGCGTGAACCTCCTGAAGCGCGGTTAATTGTCCAGTCATATACTTGTTTAGCGTTCTGTGCATAGTGTTAGTAGCTCTGGAAGTAAAATTAGACCTGAACTAAAGGAAATAATAATAACCGTGCCCGCCAATTTTACAAAGTGGGGTGAAGGATCTTCCCAAAACTTAACAATGTTTGATGTAACTTGTAGGTGGCGAGTTTAAGATTTACTGCTCTTTCGCACCCAGTGGCAGACACTTAACCCGTAAACATGGAAAGTTATCACAGTCAGCAGCTCCCCAGGCAGATATATTGCTCTCCTAGTAAGTCATAATTGCTCAGAATATCTTTGTGCTTCATAAGTGTATATAAGTATGTTAGGTATTATTTTAGTTTCGGTCAGCCGGGAATCTTAGGAATTTAACCCCCGCCTGTTAGGTTAGATATAGTTTCTGGGTTCTGTGGCTAGGTTAGGTTATGTTGGTGAGGTTACATTAGGTTTGGTTTGGTTAGGTTGATTATCTAATTACAGGGATAACCGTATGTTATGTATATATAATAATGAATGAATTCTAAGCACAATGTGGATGACAAAATACCAGAATCCTTATAGTTTCCTAGCAACAGCGCTTGAAAGAGATTGAGGAAATAAGAGTGAGTTTGGAGAGAAACAGTCATAGAATTTTGAGTGGTGTTTGTGCACATAACTCCACACAATGTGATCCAGTTGTGCATGAAAATTATATTATAAATGTTCATAAGTTAAAAAGTATAAAAATTTGAATCTTCTCAGTCCAGTGACTACAGAAAGACGCAAGGTTTACTTATTGCTTGAGAGAATTATTGTTTTGGATACTTGTCTGAGGTGTCCAGTATATTTAGCTTGAGATTGCAATCGTTGTGGCGTCACTTTTTTAGGTAAGCGGTTCTTCCATATTGGTGAAGAGTAAATAACTAATTGATAACTTGAAGTTATACTTATAGGCCTCTGTGTTACAGATTATAGCTCCCAGGACAACGCGCCCAATAAGCCGCCACGAGAAAGCCTCAATGAGCAGTACCTGCGCAGTCTAGAATTAGACCAGGACCCGTGCCGTGAGTACCCTCCAGTCTCCTGCTCTGTTGGCCTACCCACACACACACTCGAACAACAGCAACTACTTTTCTCACTAGTTCACTAGGTTATTAAAAAATGGACTTTGGAAACATTTTGATAGCCAGAGGAGGCGACTGATTTTAGAATATTGGGGAGTGACTTTTGGGTGAAGGGACGTAAAGCTTTGGGGTGTAATGGGTCATTTGTCTTTGAGTTGAAAAGGGGTTAAAAGGTCGTTTAGCGGGGTTTATTTGGTTTATGGGTGTAAGACAAGTTTAAATTTAGGATGTAGCAAACGTTTGACGCAAGTTTGTTAGAGGGGAGGGAAGGAACTTCACTTCAGAAGGCGTTTCACAATTCCTAGAGGTGCCGCTACAACTCTCCCAACTGTAATTATGACACAAGACGCTTTAGGAGAAAGGTGATCTGATATCAATTTAAATTTAATCGCGACTCTATGCAAAAACAGAAAATACATAATTTATTACCATTTTTCAGAGTTTGTGTGTGTGTGTGTGTGTGTGTGTGTGTGTGTGTGTGTGTGTGTGTGTAATAATAATAATAATTAATGGTTTATTGAAAAAGTTCGGCAGCCCGAAGGCTGAAAATATACATTGGACAAAAATGACTGATTACATACTGTGCAAAGACATGGGGTGGGTGGGTCGTTTAACAAAAGCTTTCATTACTAAAAGGAGAAGGAACATGAATTGAACATACGAATTATTATAGTTTGCAGTTGATGGCCCAGGCCTGGGCTGGTCATGGAGACACCAGATGGTGTGGTGTTCACGTGGTGCAGTAACTCGTCCTCGGGTGTTGATATGAAGGACCTCACTTGGTCATGGAGACACCGGGTGGTGTGGTGTTCACGTGGTGTGTGTCCCACTCTGGATAAAGGAGTTTTGGCCATTTATATTGTACTGTGCATGTACAGTATGTCTTTCTCTGATTGATCTATTAGGTCTGTATTTAGTTTACTCAAGTATAAATGTGAATTATTTTTCTTGAAACTGAATCAATTGAGAACTAACATGATGTTGGTGTGTATGTACGGACAGCTGAACACCGCGCAGCCCTCAACTTCTATTGCACCAAGTGCCGTATGGTGATCTGCCGGGACTGTACAGTGGTGGCACACCAGCAGCAAGAGGCCCACCGGGTCCTTGACACCCCTGATGCCCTGGCAACACTCAGGACCGAGGCAGTCACACTCCTCCGACACTATTCACTCATCAAGTCCATCCATGACATGCTCAACCAAATTTACTACAAGTATATCAAATACTCAAGTCCGGTGAGTGTCTGATCAGGGTTGGGTGGCTCCTCGTGCTCAAGTAAATTGTTATCTATGATTTTTATTTCCCGAGATCAAATGGACATATGGCAGTAAGTTTCTTCTTCATTACTGCAGCTGTACCATTGTTTTCTTCTGTTAATTGCGGATCAGTTGTGCTCTTGATTCAGTGCAAGTTTTTTATATACTTCACATTGAACATTTAGTCATCTCCCATACCCAGTGTTGCCCTGCCATCTCTATTTGTAGAATTTTTTATCCATCCAAAAGGGTTATATATTGACCAATTTTTCATTTGATAGCATATTAATGAAAAGTGTAGTACAGTATCTTCATCTTTAGAAAAAAAGTGTTGTAAAATATTGTGTAACGTTTTCATTTCATATTTAGTTACACATCAACTAATGCAGTGTTCTTAGTGTACTATGAAGTACTGCCACACAATCAAGAGAATTAATTGGCATTTTATCTTAACAACATAATTGCTCTAAGAACTATAAGAACGAGTCCATTACCTCGCGCCTGCGCCTGGTGGACGGGGAGTTCCTGGAGAGGGTGGTGAAGGAGGCGGAAATAGTGGTGGCAACAGGGAGGAATCTGAAGACGGTCCGTGAACTAGTGAAGAAGTGGGAGGAGCACCAGCACGACTGGGACGACCTTGTCTTTCTCTCCCTCCGCAACACACTACTCACTAACTTCACTGCTGCCAAGGACAAAGTCTACCTCAGGTCAGTGATTACAGAAATATAAGGTAAAACACACACACACCCACACAAATGTAAGGTAAGATGCTAGAAGTGGAATATCATTTATAAATCAGTGTGTTGGTGTGTTGTTATCAATACAATTTTGTACCCAGGTGTCGCTCCAAGGAGCTTCGTAGCTGCACTCATCGGTTCTAAATGTTGTATATGTTGATGGCTGGCACTAATGTAACAGTTAGTGTAAACTCTCATCACATCCCTAGCCTAGGAGAAGGGTCTGGGAAGCTAAGATCTTGGTATTGCAGCAGTTTGTTCACTAACTCACTAAGACCTATTTTGGCCATATTAGATTTCCATTTCTAGGATCCAGCGGTCTCTCTGTTCAGAGCAGGTTGTGTTTGTACCTGAAATTGTGCCAGTGCTGGTTAAGTCTGGACTTACAGCTCACTCTTGGTGCTGTTACGACATTCTATGGCAGGTTATTCCAACAAGAGTTCACAACTCTTTTTCCAAAGAAGTTAAATCTGACAGTTGTCTATATTTATTCCTCCTTTATCCTGAGGCTGTGAGAACGAAAAAGATGACCATCTCCTAACTTTTAGTATGTGCATTTGACTAAGCAATGCTCTTGGGGCACTTATAAACTAATATTAAATTACCACTTGCCCTTTTGTGGTATATACTACTAGTATTCAGGAGTACCTATTAGGTACTCCTGAATGTGCTGCTTAAGGATCTGTTAACCAAAATTTGATATCTTGATTATAACTTGTTCAAATGGCTTTTAGAAAATGTTCAAATGATTTTTAGAATATTTTAATTACTTTTGCAATGCTAATTACTCGCCACTTATGGGTTTTCGAGGTCATTTCTTGGTGCTTGTGTATTATTCTGGATGTACTTAAATAGTTAGGCACATTAAATTTTAGTTCAGAGAGAAAACGTATTTTTGGCCAAAAATCCTTTAAGGCTAGACTTACAATTTTCGTCATTTCGGCCAAAAAATGGATTTTGTTCAAAATTTCAGTATAGGTACTCCTGAATGTGCTGCTTAAGGATCTGTTAACCAAAATTTTATATCTTGATTATAACTTGTTCAAATGGCTTTTAGAAAATGTTCAAATGGTTTTTAGAATATTTTAATTACTTTTTTGCAATGCTAATTACTCGCCACTTATGGGTTTTTCGAGGGTCATTTCTTGAGGTGCTTATGTATTATTCTGGATGTACTTAAATAGTTAGGCACATTAAATTTTAGTTCAGAGAGAAAAGCAGTGGCAATATATTATTCTGGATGTGTGCTTAAATAGTTAGGCACATTAATTTTAGTTCAGAGAAAACGTATTTTTTGGTCAAAACTGAGCTATAGAACTTACAATTTTTCTTCATTTTCGTACGTAGTTTTGTTCAAAATTTTAGTATAAGTACTCCTGGATATTGCTGTAGGATCATTAGCAAAATTTGATATCTTGATTCTCTTGTTCAAATGGCTTTTAGAAAATGTTCAAATGATTTTAGAATATTTTAATTGCACAATGCTAATTACTCGCACTTAGCATAGGTTTTCGAGGTGTTTCTTGGTGCTTGTGTATTATTCTGGATGTGCTTAAATGATTGGAAGCACATTAAATTTGGTTCAGAGAAAACATATTTTTGGTCAAAAATCCTTTAAAATATAGACTTACAATTTTCTTTATTTCAAGTAAAAATGGATTTTGAACAAAAATTTCGATATGGTGCTCTGAATATTAAGGATCTCATTAACAAATTGATATCTAGATTTATAACGTTAATTTTTAGAAAATATTTAAAATGTTTTTTGAATATTTAAGTGCTTTTACAATATGATACTCACTTCACTTATGGGTTTTAAGTTAATTTCTTGAATTGCTTATTATTATTCTGGATGCTTAAATAATAGTTAATACATTAAAATTTGGTTGAGAGAAGAAAAACATCATTTTGATTAAAAATCTTTTCCTAGACTTACAATTTTAATAAATTTCGGCCAAAAAAAATGGATTTTTCAATTTCAAAATTTTAGTACCAGACACTCTAGTTATTTTTCCTTGGAATATAACTTCAATTTGATATCTTGATTATAACGTTCAAATGGCTTTAGAAAATGTTCAAATTTTTTAGAATATTTTATTCACTTTTGCAATGTAGACCCACTCTTGCATGGTTTCAGAGTCATTTCTTGATTGCTTGTGTATTCTGGATGCACTTAAATAGTTGAGCACATTAAATTTTGGTTCAAGAGAAAACTTGTATTTTTTGGTCAAAAAATCCTTTAAGATATAGACTTACAATTTTAATGTTTCAGCCCAAAAATGGATTTTGTTAATTTCAATTATAAAATTACTCCTGAATGTTAACAACTGAATCCTGTTAAATTTGATATCTGGATACTGCTTGTTATTAGCTTAGAAAATGTTCAAATGATTTTTGATCTTTATACTTTTTGACCTGATACTCGCCACTTATAGGTTTTCAAATTATTTCTTGGTGCTTGTGTATTATTCTGGATGTACTTAATAGTTTAGGCTATTCAGTACTAGTTCAGAGAAAAACATATTTTAAATTAAAAATCACTTCCAGGCTTCTCTGAGCTTTGGTACCGTCATTTATTTAAAAATAGTTTTGCTGAAATTTCCCAGTATGGAGTACTCTGAATGTGCTGTAAGTCTATTAATAAAATTTGATATCTGATTACTCGCTTGTTCAAATGGCTTGAAAATGTAATGTTTTTAGAATATTTTTAATTACTGCAATGCTAATTACTCTCATACTTATGGGTTTTTCAGGGTCATTTCTTGGTGCTTGTGTATTATTCTGGATGTACTTAAATAGTTAGGCACATTAAATTTTGGTTCAGAGAAACGTATTTTGGTCAAAAATCCTTTAAGGCCTATATAGACTTACAATTTTCTTCATTTTCGGCCAAAATAGTTTTGTTCATTTCAGTATAGTACTCTGGATATTGCTGCTTGAGATCTATTATTAAAAATTTAAATATCTTGATTAACTTTATTCAAACTTTAATGTTCAAATGATTTTAGAATATTTTTCGATACTTTTTAATGCCTATTCCTCGCCACTTATGGGTTTTCGAGGTCATTTCTTGGTGTATGTATTACTGGATGTAAATAGATTTAGAGCACATTAGAATTTTGATTCAGAGAAAACGTATTTTTGGTCAAAAATCTGCTAAAGACTCTGAGCTTTAATTTTAATATTTCGGCCAAAAATGGATTTTGTTCCAAAATTTCAGTATAGGTACTCTGAATATTGCTGTAGGATCTGTTAGCAAAAGAATTTGATATCGTTATAACTTGTTCAAATGGCTTTTAGAAAATGTTCTATGATTTTAGAATCTTTAGTACTTTTTGCAATACTAATTACTCGCCATATGGGTTTTTCAGGGTCGACTGCTTGGTGCTTGTGTATTGATATAGATGTGTAATAGTTAGGCACATTAAATTTTAGTTCAGAGAAAGCAATATTTTGGTCAAAATCCTTTAAATATAAAACACAATTTCTTCATTCGGCCATCCAGGTTTTAGTTTAATTTATGCATTTTCCTGAATCTTAACCTTTAAGGATCTGTTAACCAAAATTTGATATCTTAGTTATAACATTTCAATGGCTTTTAGAAAATCATTCAAATGATTTTAGAATGTTTTAAATGCTAATTACTCGCCACTTATGGGTTTTCGAGGTCATTTCTTGGTTGCTTGTATTGGATGTACTTAAATAGTTAGGCACATTAAATTTTTGGTTCAAGAGAAAGAAGCGTATTTT